TTCCCAGTTTGTTCCCAGTGAGGGGAAACATAGTATCAGGAAGCCAAGCCATTTCATTCCCCGAGTAAGCTCTGTGTATATAATTTAAACACGTTTGTTTAGTTGACATTTAGTAATAATAACCTGTGAAAGCTGGTTACTACACTACAGAGCACTTGCATGGGAGTCATCCATCTGTTGTGGAGATGGCTCGCTTTAAATCCAAGGAGAAGCAGAATTGTTTAATAAGTTCAGGTTTTTGTTAGCCTCCAGCTCCTGTTGGCATTCAAATGTTTTAACCATTTAACATTTTACTGCAGCAAAATTATAAGCCTCCTCTGACCTGATATTCAGCAGTTTATACACTATATAATGGAAATGACTCCAAAAGATACATTATGTGCAAAGACTATGTGAGTATATCTACAAAAACATTCATAAATATGCAGGAAGTGTTTGGACCACTTCGCTTTTTGCACATAATTACTGGTAAAAAAAAAAGAAGAAGCCATTTTTGCTCATCAGGCTACACTCCATAACCCATGATGACAAACTGAAAATATGTTTCTAGACATTTTTGTATCCAATTTTCATAACTGTTTACAGCTTTGAGTCTTCTTGGGTAAGTCTCAGTTTGCACACCTGCATTTGGACAGTTTGTCCCATTCTTCTTGTCAGATCCTCTCAAGCTCCATCAGGTTGGATAGGAGGCATCTGTGAACCACTATCTTCTCTCCGTAGATGTTCTGTAGGGTGTAAATCTGGACTTTGGCCACTCAAGGACATTGAGAGACTTGTCCCAAAGCCACTCCAGCGATGTCTTGGCTGTAGGCTTCAGGTCATTATTGTACTGAGAGATGAACCGGCATCCTGGTCTCTGTCCTGGTCTTGTGGACTCTGGATCAGATTTTTATCAAGGACCTCTCTGTATTGGGCTGCATTCATTCTTCCATCACTTCTGGCCAGTCTCCCTGTCTCCGCTGCTGAGAAGCCCTCCATAGCATGGTGCTGCCAGTGCTATGCTTCACTGTGGGGGATGATATTATCCAGGTGATGATCATCTCAGAGCGACTTCCCTCTATCCTCTCTACCCTTAAGGTCTGAATCCATGGGGTGCTGCTGAGTTGGTCGTTTGTCCAGCAGGTTCTGCAGAGAACATCTGAAGCTGTGTTAGTGTGACATAAGGCCCTTCTTGCCTGGTTTGGCCAGGCAGCAAAAGCCCTGGTGTTTCCAAACATCTTCTATTACACAGTGATTGAGGCCACTGCGTTCCTAGGAACATTCAAAGCTTTAGAAATGGCTTTATACCCATTCCCTGATCTACGCTTCATCACATTTCTATCACAGAGGTCTACACAGAGCTCCCTGGACTTTCATTGCCTGAATGTTGTCCTGCCATACGTGTTGTATACACAGAGCACTTCCTTTCTAAATGTCCAGTCAGTTTAACACAGGTGGACACATCTCAGTCAAACTGAAACCAAACAGGGTCCGACCGACCGCAGTTTTCAGTGCCACAGCAAATGGTCTGAATACTTTTGTAAATGCCAGTTTTTGGCCTTTGATTTTTAATACATTGGCAAAAATGTATGAAAACGTTTGTGCTTTGTCATTATGAATAAACAATAGTAATTTTATCCATTTAAAATCCAACAGAAAAGAAACTGTGCAAAATGTAAAAGGATCTGAACGCTTTCTGGAGCTTCCATATGCTTTGGACATAAATACCTTTATTCTTAATGCTTATTTTAAGATCTGGCCTCCTCCCCATCTGCACACTAATAAAAGAAATGTTCACTTTAAACTCTTTGATTATCACATTTTACATAAATAGGCCACCTCTCAATGGCACGCAGTGTATCACGACTTGCTATTACGCAAAACCTTAAAAAAAACTATGCCGCCTCGTTGACCTCAAGTGGGAAAATTACGAAAGAGCAGAGACTCTGCTTGTGCTTTATATTTTCCAGACATTACGGTGTTGATGCAGGCTGCACGGTATGCGGACAAACAAAAGCACATAATGCACTGAAAGCGCATTAATAGTTCCGCCTCGGGGCTGTTTAAACAGGAGTTCGGTAGCGACCAGTCAGCCAGCGGCAGGTCACATGTTGCAGCGTCACTGTGTAGTAAAGTTACTGTAGTTGCAAAGACGCTCCTCATTTCAGCTCCAGAGGTCTCATCCCGTGCTGCTGCTGCTGCGGCGGCGTTTCAGCATGCGACAACTTCAAATCCAGATGATCTCCAAAGGAGCCGTCCAGTCATGGGAGTGCATTACCTCATCCGTGCAATTTCCACCATCAATAATTTAATCTATTTGCTCCAAAGCTGAAGAGATATCTTGAAGCTTGTCGGGAGAGTACCGAGAGGGAAATATCGCTTAAGTAATTTACTCAGGGAGTTGTCCAAAACATCCCAGATGACACTGCTGTGCTGTTGAATGGTCTGTTTTACGACTGGGCACTAAAAGGTACGTGTCCGTCCGTTTCTCGAGAACTTGTTTTAAGCACTTTGGCTTTGTTTGATGCTGCTTGAGAAAAAGACAGAGGTGTGTGTGTGTGCGTGTGTGTGTGTGTGTGTGTGTGTGTGTTGGTGTGCGGGGGTGTGTGCGTGTGTGTGTGTGTGTGGCGTAGAGAGGGGCGGAGGGGGCGGAGGAGAGGGGGGCCTCTAAAAGTAGCTCGATCAGGTCCGGTTGTCCTGCGAACAGACAGCCCGAGAGGGGATATGTGTAACCGTATCCTGTCGTTCATTAATAAAAAAACGGAGTTATTATGTTGATTGGGTTTCCAGCGGAGAGCACAGGCTCAGCAGATGTAATCTCTAGACAAAAACGACAGTTGTTCCATTATAATTAGAGCAGTCTAAGCAATGCGACCGGTTATTAATATTTCTCATAAAGTGGAACCAATCCAGCGTGTCCGTATGAAATCAGCCACGTTTGGACATTTAACGGCAACTCTCTGCTCATAAACAGCCCAATAAACTCTTTGTTCTGGGTGTCTGTCTTATTCTCTCACCTACACTCGGACCCTCATCCACCGTGAACAGGCAGAAAAACTGCAGAGTTTTGTATTGTATTGTTTTGTGGGGTGGGGGGGTGTTGGGGTGACTTGGAAGGACTCATTAAGACTTTATAGGAAACCCGAGACCAAACGCCCTGCTACGTGGGTCAACATAACACTGTTGGGTCGACTTCTTGGTGTTGTGCGCTCGCACAGTAGCTGTCACTCCAAATTACTGGACAGAATGGACCCGGATTAAAACGAGGTCCTATTTATAGGGTGGTGGACTATTTGTGACAGCTTCATGTGAAAACATCTTGTCCAAGAACTTATCATAGGATCAACGCCTGGTTGGATGGTGGTGTCGGCCAGTGATGAATTAATGATGTACTTTACAAAAATGCAGATTATAGTCAAATTCCTTATCAGACTTGTAACTAAAATAAGAAATAACAAGTGAAGAGTATATCATATTTACATCTACGAACAAAACACTAGATATTTTTGGTCTATCTATCTACCATCTATCTATCTATCGTGTTTCACACGAGGGAGGGGGAGAATTGAGAAAGGTGGAGGGAGTTAGAGAAGCTCTTACTATTTCACGGTCTCATACGCCATCTTGTGTTCAAACCTGGGAACTGCAGCGGGCTTCACATGGGGGGTGAGAGTGTTGTTTTAGTGGTATTTAGGTATGATTGTTCATAAGGTAAAATTTTAAGGGAGAAAAAAACATAACGCAAAACCAAATTTTATGGTACATTATCACTAACGTTGTATATTTAAGGAATAATTAGATGCAAGTCAGTTGTTGTTTTACTCTGCTACTGTATTTTTTTCAATTGTTCACTGTTGCACACATTGTGGGAGAGAGGCACCAGCTCATTTGGAGAGCATATGTCACTCAGCAGCTATTTGAATGGCGGCATCTCTGTGCTAGAGGCCAGTGTTGGCCTGGAGGTCACGTATAATCCCTTAGTTATGCCCATCTATTACTAAGCATGCTTTGAAACTGTGTCAGATTGAAAACAGATCTCAAGAAAGCAAGCTTCCACATGTCAGCCATTACTGCAGACAAGTCTAATTGCTTTTTTAAGTGCTACATTGTGGCACACAAGGGGTCCTCAGGTAAAAAATCTGATCACATGTATTGCATGTTTTTCTTGTCTTTTTTTAACTAAACCTTTGGCATTTTGTGCTAATATGTACAACATGACAAAACATGTTGGTGGCTAAATAGCTCTGGCCAGCACAGTTCTTGAATTGAATTGAAATGAACAAAAAAAGATGCCCACAAGGGAGAAGCATTAGAGGCAGAGAACAAACGTTGCTATAGGTCACACATTTCTATTCAGATGTAGCAGGCACATTTCCCTCTTACATCTCACCTGTTTGATGTTATTTTCCTCTCTTAACAGTTTCTAAGATATCATCCACACTCTTAGTAAAGATTAAGTCATAAAGGATGCTGATGTGTGCAGGGAGGCTGGGAACATTGCTGAAGGTGTAATAATATTAGCCATGCTAGTTCTTTCATGCTTTAGAGAAACTTTTCAGCATCTGTCAGTGAAGACATTTATCAGTTTAATCCCCACCTGGCACAAATGCAGAGGGTAAGTTACATATCCCTGAAAGAAGATGAACAGGTGGTCATCTGGAGACGCCAAAGCCAAACAGTAGACAGAGTCCACACACTCACCTGCTCCTATTGTTCTGGGTGTTTCATGGTTTCGTGTTGTAGCTGTGTAGTCATGAATGAAGGTGTTTGATCAGTGATTATTGTGGACTTTAGGTCCACCACACCGTGTTTTTATCTCAGTACTGATTTAGATGATGACATGGCCAGTTTATTATGTGACAGAGCAGAATCGGTGGGATGTATCTGGATTTCATCTTAATGTTTAAGCAATTTAGATAGAAGATAGAACTGTACTTTCCTCAAGCACCTCATTGTGTTAGATATTTTCAAAACAAAACCAGTCATCAGAAAACACTCCCCCATATGTTTCCTTTCTTGCTCTATTATTCACATTTGTCATTTTAACTTGGCTTTTTATTAACTTCAAAACCCAGCCTTACACATAAAATGTTCCTTCAGTGGATGTATAAAACAAGAGCAAACCAATCAGTTGTCACATTTAGCCTATAGTAGATATAAGCAAGAGATTCTCTGCCAGTCCCATAGCAATTAAATGATTCATTGGCTTTATCGCATTTTAACAGGATGTTGATTGAGAGCATAAGCCATATTGATTGTCCTGATGGAAACAGGAAATCGCGCAGATAGAAATAAAATCATTTGTTGTTCCCGGTGTGAGGATACCCGGGGGATTGATATGCAATTGCACACTGTTGAGAGGCATTACCCCCAGCAACCTCCTCCCCTCCATTCTCTCCCCTATGGAGACCTGGAAGAGACGTCATCTGTGGTTGTTATGCTGCGAAATGACGCTGGCACTCTCTCCACCCCCTGCTACTGCAATATTACCCCTGTGGTCTGTTACAGAAGATGCAGCACTCTTTGTCTGCACCATTTCCAGCATGAAGTTTGACGCCTAACAGTAATCAGCCCTCTGCCTTCATTTCCCTCATGTGGAAGTGGAACCATTTGAGTGCGATGCTGATAATAATATCAGCCTAAATGCATCCTACACATAAAACTCGTGACTGGCCTCAGTCCCGTAAACCTACACAATTTTCTGTGCTGGGAAGCCTCGTAGATAATCCTTGTTAGTTGAACCGATACCTCAACAATTCTAAAGGGTTAAAAATCTTGATTAGTGCACGTTGCAGGGGTTTTTTTATTAACGTGCAATGAAAAATGAACAGTTAGCGCTTTATTTTTGGCTTTGTCCTCAATGTTGTTTTAGTTGGTGAGAGGAAAAATACCCCCATCTCCCTGCAAACACATACAAGCCAGCCCCTCCCAACGCCCTCCCTCTAATGCACACTCACACACTTTGCAAGAGCACGTCACTGAGCTCAGGGAATGAGTGGCTCATTAGGAAGAAGGATGTGATATTCTGAATAGAGACTGTGAGACTCCCAGCGCATCTATTTTTAGATGAGATATCTCTATGACAGTCACCGTGGTGTTAGTTAATTACAGCCACAACCCCAGATGCCAATTAAGAACGAAACAAATGCTTTTAAGGAGGGGTTTTGCTCCTCTCTACTATGAAGGTCCTCGTGTCCATTCTGAGAGGAGGCAGGAGTGTGTTTGTTCAGCGTGTTTTCCTGTATCAGGTTGGGACATGCAGAGTGTAGTCAAAGCCTCGGCCAGGCTATTTTTAAATGAGCCCCTGTGGAAGGCAAGATCTAGATTTTGTTTTCATTGTGGTGGCTTTTGTGTCTCTGGCTGTTGGATGTCCACCAATTCACTGACTTGCTGTGAATCATAGAGCTTCTCAAAGGTAAGGGATGTGTATGTGCTCAGGCAATTTGCTGGTTATATATGTACAGTATTGTGGCTACACCTGGATCCTTGTAGATCTTTTTCTTTTTCTCACCTGGCAGCGCTCGAAGATTGGTACTTTACAGCGGAGGATGACACATCTTTCTCTCATTCAGTTTTCCTCATGACGTCCTGTTAGTTCCTCCTGCGGTGCTCTCGCCATCCACCTCCCATAAACAGAGTCCCTTAACAAACTCCTGCTTCCAGTTCATAAATATAAGGTTTAGTATCAGATACTCCCCCCCAAATAAGTGTGCTCCAACATCTAACAGTAAACAACTGCTTGCCCTGAACATTCTTAAGAATATGAACATCCTTCATCAAGTTTAAAAAATTGGGAAGGTATTAGCGTTCGACATTTATATGACAACACAAATGATTCAGGCAGTGAGGTGTGAATGACACAGTTATCCATTATAAAACCACACAATCTTGTGCGACCTAGTAATAAACAGTAGAATTGAACACACCTGTTAAAAAAGCTAATAAATAATAGCAAGTCTGCAAGAATGTGGTGACATCTACTTGTGTAATCTCTTGTACAACGTGACCTCTCAGATGCTCAGCCCAACGTTTGTACATTACTGCCAACAAATAAAAATCTAAGCCAGACCTCTCTTAGGAATAAAATGATTATAGTTTGCAAACAGTTTGAAAACACTGATGACACAGCACTGATACCAGTTTAATGAAAAAAACATTTTGTGATTATTCCGAAGCTACTGGCTCACTTTTTGGCTTGCAAATAAAGAGTAGAGGGTGGAAATAAGAGGAAAGGCTGCCAAGGTGCATTATGGATCATGAATAAGCTAATGTCATTGAAAATACTCTCTGACTGTTTTGTTCTCTCTCCCTCTTCTTTCCCTCTTGTTTTCTGTCTTTCCCCCTCCAGTTCCACCAGGTTAGAAGAGTGATGACCATCCTGTTCCTTACTATGGTTATTTCATACTTCAGTTGCATGAGAGCTGTGCCCCTGAGAGACGCCCCGGGCATGCGGGGCCATCGGACGGAAGGCTACTTGGGCGCTGCTGCGACGGCCGCACGAGGCCATGGGACTCCACAGAGTGGTGGTGGGCCAGGCCAGCGCGGGGAGCTGCCCTCACTCACAGACACGTTTGAACAGGTGATAGAGGAGCTGCTGGAGGTGGAGGGAGAGGCGGCACAACTGGGACAGGGGGCTGATAACAGCCAGGGAGGTGGGGGCCCGTCCTCAATGGTCACCACAGAGACCAAGGATGTCGATCTGTATGACTCGCGGGTGATGATCAGCAACCAAGTGCCTTTGGAGCCGCCGTTGCTCTTTCTTCTGGAGGAATACAAAAACTATCTGGATGCCGCTAACATGTCCATGAGGGTGCGGCGACACTCCGATCCCTCACGGCGCGGAGAGCTGAGTGTGTGTGACAGTATTAGCCAGTGGGTGACAGCTGTGGATAAAAAGACAGCAATAGACATGTCTGGGCAGACAGTTACCGTCATGGAAAAGGTCCCTGTCCCCAATGGCCAACTGAAGCAATACTTTTATGAGACCAAATGCAACCCCATGGGGTACACAAAGGAGGGCTGCAGAGGAATAGACAAGCGGCATTATAATTCCCAATGCAGGACAACTCAGTCCTACGTGCGAGCGCTTACCATGGATAGCAAAAAGAAGATTGGTTGGCGATTTATAAGGATAGACACTTCATGTGTATGCACATTGACCATTAAAAGAGGGAGATAGTGTATAAAATGTATAGATTTTATTGAAGAGTTTAAAAAAGAGAATAAAGAGAAAATATCTATTTGTATATATACATAACAGGGTAAATTATTCCGTCAAATGAAAATTTTATGGACTGCATGTAAAAAAAGATGAAGTTTATACAGTAAAAGTGATGCTACAGTCTATTTATTGAACATATTCATGACCTTGTAAACAATTAAAAATCTGATCAGTCATTTGCGCCCAGTTTAAATTACTATATCACATTCCTCAAAGACATTGTGATTTGTTTACATTGCCAAGAATTAGAAAATGAAGGAAAAAAAACAGGCAAGGAATGAGAGGACAGCTCCATCTTCAAAAGCTTGCATGCTGCTTCAATTGTGAATTGAGAAATTCTCCACTTACAAAAAAAGAATATGATGCTGACCAAAAAAAAAAACCAAAAAAAAAAACATTCCGTTTACATATTCAGCAGAAAACAATTTTCCTCTCAAGTAATTTATCTGTTTACTGTTCTAAACTTCTCAAGGTAATGTTGGAATTACATACTATGTCAAGGTGCTGTTGTCAAAGCTTTGCTGTTTATTTTTTTATCCCCACCAGAGGACAAGATATATATAAAAAAAGTATATATATATATACATACATACATATATATATATATATTCATTGACATGTTTCTGGGTTAATATTATTCATTTTGTATGTTGTGAAGTTGTTTGCAATATTAAACTGAAATATTTCAAGAAATAAAAATGACTATAGGCAACTGAAAACAAAATCAATGTCGATAAAGTTTGACCAATGCATTTTTAGGCAGGATAACCTTTATTTTATAGACAGGAAGGCCGGCACACACATACACATGCATGTGCACAAACTCTGCGCCATAACAAAACAATGGAATTGTTTCTACAGGCTGTAGGGAAGCAATATATATTCAGTAGCAGAGGAAAAAGTCCATTGGGTGATGCACAGGGAAAGAAATAATGACAGCATTATGGGTGGAAAGAATATAATACCATCATTTGGCGGTTCTTGGTGTTATTCAGTGTTATTTTGAGGAGGGAATAGTAGAAAAGTGGTCCCAAACCACTTCCTGTTCAGCAG